AAAGTGTTAGCCCTGGATTTTGAGCATAGTTTGGTGTGGCAATTGTCACATTGCTTTTGAACTGGCCACGAGTGATGGCCTTCTTAAGACACGAAACGAATACGATTTTGTATGAATTAGGCAGATTTACAAGTCAATTGTGATCTATATTTTGTGATACACGACTTATGCTGTTAACCGCTAATTATTTAAACAAAGTGTTCAAGTTTATTGTTCAAATTTATTGGCAATAATAATTCTTTAAATACTATTCGGAAAATGCATTCCTTCGGGGTTGAAACTGGGGCTCCATGTGCTGTGCATGTCGTGCAGTTTTGTCGTGACACGCTTCCATCTCTGAGCGAGTCCATTTAAACTACATGAGCTTGTCACAAACTTGCTAGTATACAGTGCGAATGCAAGTAGACTACAAATTATAAATTAAATTCAGCGCTGCCAGCTATTTGAAATGGCTTCAAGTGTTGCCTCTGCCAGGGGCTCTATGTGGGCTTGGGCTGTGGCATGTGGCGGATATGGGGACTTAATCTTTGGAGCTTGCAACCAGCTGCCTGCGGTTCAGGTAATGCTCGCTTTGCTTATGTTTCATTTGCCAAAAACTACATGTCGGTGCCGGGGCCAAGTACCTGTGCATGTTTTCATTTAATTTGAAACATTTTCTTTGCCTAAATTACAGAATCACATAACTCGTGGACCGTGGGTGGTGTTTCGTTGGGTGGCAGCTCTGTCCGCTGCTTATATAAGACGCATAGCTCGTGTCACTCGCTCGGCTTATCTTTTATCGGGGCAAATGTCTTTGTTGCCTTCTCTTTTCGAGCTGTTGCCGACGGCCAAAATTGTGTGCAAAAACGTTTTATACCTGGGCAAAAAAAAATATTAAACAGGAGCAAACGCACGCCGAAGACTAAATACCCTTGTAAACATATGGGCTCTAACCTATAGGCTTTTATAGTCAAGATTTTCTTTTAGGAGACATATGATAACATATAGTAAGCTGATATGATTTTGCAGATATTTTAGGAAATTGTTTGGTCAAGGTTAAAGATGGGCACGAAGAAGAAACTTGGATTCTGTCACTAACGTCTGGAAACAGAGAATTATTATACTCTTCCGGCTCGTGTTTGATACAAGGACCTAATTTCTGACTGTTTTTTCGTGTGGCAGCTATATGACATTGTGTTTCAAACTGTTCGACTCCGACATAGTTACGACCTGTGACATAAAGAAGATTCTATGTAAGCCTTCAAATACAACAAAGCAATAAACAAATGGATTATCAGTATGATGGACCTCATCAAGAATATATATCTCATTTATGCGTTACATATTTCATGACAAAACTATAATATCCTTCTAAAGGGTATAACAAATTTAACAAAAACAAAGCCAGACACACGGAGCGACAGTTTATTTCACACGGGAGCTCCCGGCTAGGACTCGGCGGCGGAACTCGGACCAAGACCCGGCGCCAGAGCCGCACCCGGAACAGGAGCAGGCAATTTACAGCTACGCGGCCATGTGACTTACTAAATCAACTTGGGTTGTCGCTCGCCAGCCGTTTGAAGCTGAAGTTCGTTTGTGGCAACAAAAACAAACGCTTCTAATGCGCGGGCAACGTTGACGCCGACGTCGCAAATGTCAGCTTGACAAATCGCGTGCAGAAATCTGCGAAATCTTTATACCCTGAACCCATTGCAAATAGGTAATGGGGGTAAATTGGCTATGTTCAAATGAATGTAACAGGCAGAAGGAAGTTTCTCTGACCCCATTAAGTATGCATATATTCTTAAACAGCCTCATCAGCCGAGTTGACCTAACATTATCCATTGTCCGTTATTTAAAACGCGTTAATAATATACTACTAATGCACTAAAATATCTAATTATCGATAACTTACCTCAAAGGAGACACAAAATATTGTATGGGGACTCGTATAAAATATACACAGATCCAAATCATTTTATTATTCGAATACTTCGCCTCTGTTTCCTAGCCACCATTAAACCAAAATGTTGCAGCTAATGCTTAGGGCTTTGGTAAATATGTATGTGTATTTGTGCTTTTATGTGTGTTTTTTAGTATATGTTTTTTGTATAAAAACAGTTAACAATAGCAGCTTTGTCCTGGGTTCAGGGTATCTTCTAGTCGAGCAGCCCTGACTAGAGCATTGTGACTTTCTTTTTTTGCTTTTGCTGCTCATTTTTGAATGTTTCTGAAAGCGTTGGATTTGACGTCTCCAAAGCTGCCGCCACAAGCCGCAGCTAACAATCGGATGGGGGATGTAGCTGACGTGCCTCATGTGTCGTTGCTGTGTGTGTGGGTGTGTGTGCGTGTGTGTGTGTGTGTGTTGGCGCCTCTGCCGCAAATGCCACACGGCATGCCGACGGCGCCTCTTTGGGTAATTTGTTGTGTTTGTCTTGCCGCCGCCTTTTTCACTTCGCTGCCCCTTCCAAAACGTGGCTGTGGCAAATTTTTTGATTAATCAAAGGACATTTTCGTTTATTTTTTTTGTTAGGGTACTTTCTTTTTTTTGTTGATGCGTTAAAGAAGCCCGAATTAATGCAAAAATGATGAGTGGAAATTTGTCAAGCTTATTTACTTCCGTCATTTAATGGCCCGGCGGCACATTGACAGCAGCGACTGGACCCCAGCACAGACAGCGGAATTTATCTTTGTTTGCTTTTTGGTTGGTCTTATTTTTTGTCCTACCCGAAGCCATTTTATGCATAATTTTCGGGCCAACTCCCTGCATGACGTCCATCGGAGCTGGCTGGCTTTCATTGTCCGCCATTTTTACCTGCGGCCATTGGTCCTTGCATATTTTAGCCGGATTTGTCATAATGCGTTGAATATTTTTCTCGGAAAGGCTCCAATAAGTGCTTGCCGGCAAAGTGTTTGGGTGTTTTTTTTTTTGACGATGTTAAATCGAATTTTTCGGCTGGCGTTTTTATTTTTTGTGGTCCTTTTTTATCAATCATAACCAGGGTAAACGAATTAGTTGGGTAGTTCGGAAATCTATGGCATAGGCTGTTTGGTTGGTTCTTATTGGGGGTTAGCTGCGTGTTTGTAAATCAACTGAAAAGAAGAACATATACTTTTTTTTATCGGCTTAAAATGTGTACACAATTATTATACGCTGGATTATATTCGGAGTTTATATTATATATTTTTATACCCTGAAACCATTGAGAATGGGTAAAAGCGGTAGCAGTAGGTAGTAGGCAGTAGGAAGCATCTCAGACCCCATTCCGTATATATATTCTTGATCAGCATCAAAAGCCGAGTCGATCTAGCCATTTCCGTCTGTCGGTCCATCCGTAGGTATGAACGCAAGAACCTCAGATCTTATAAGAGTGTACAGGTATATAGAAATTCTTGCAACTTGCGCTAGATGTCCCAACCACGTGGGCAGCCAACACACATATTCTTTAATGACTTCTGTCTTCCTTAGCCGATCTTGATAAAATTTTCAACAGTAGATCTTATTGTGCTATAGAATATTTTTATATTCTCAAAAAGTCAATTTATTATTATTTTTTATTTACTTTATTTATGGCTATGTGGTGATAGCGGGAAGGTGGCGATAGCTATAAAATGATAGATAATTGATATATTAGTATATGCTATTCTATAAGCTACATGTAAAGTTTTGTGACTCTAACTATTATAACTTACTTAGATTTGCTCAAAAACAGGATTTAGATATCGATTTTTATCGATTACTTGGAAACGGGACAAGTTATCGATTATCGGTTACAAACTCGTACTGCGCGGGCATCAGGAGGACCTACGTTCTAAATTGTAAGTCCCTAGCTCTTATAGGTTCTGGGAGCCTTGCGTTCATACATACGGGCGAACGGACAGACAGGCGGCTATTGATGCTGATTAAGAGTATATATACTATGTGGCGTGGGAGATGCTTTCTTCTGCCTGTTACATACATTTGCACAAGATCATTATACCATTTTTACCATTTTGAATAGGTACAATGTATACAAGTGGGACTTAGAAAGGTTTTAAGCAATATATGGGCTTACAGCTAGAGAAGCTAGAAGCTAAGGACTTGATTCGAACGAGATACAAAAAATTTGCGTTTGGGTGCATGGCAAAATAAATATAAGAAAAAATACAAATTTAAATCAAAATGTCGCATGTACATTTGTCAACCAAATCAAATCAACTGAACTCTATTTATTATGCTGTCAATGTGCATAGTTAATCGGATATGGCATATTTAATCGGATATGGCAAATTAAATCGGATTATTACCAGTGTATTTATATTAAAAATATAGTTATTTGATTTTAAATAATCAGCGTTTGGGCCTGTTATGTTTTGTTTATATATTTATATTAAAAAAAAAGAAACCAAAATAAATGTTAAATATTGCTGCCCGGCTTAGACTTTGGCTCATTATATGCGATTCCGTGTTAGCACCTATAAAAATTAATGTTGAATAAAAATAAAAGTTCTGCTTTGAAATTTATTTTTATATTTCACGTACATCGTTTAATACAAATACATTAACACTTCACATTTATTAATTATGTTTACTTTTATTTGCCTTTGATTGTGTTTCAATTCATTCTGTGTGTTTGTTTTTGTTTTTATTTGTTCGTGCAAATACATATACATATATACTTATTTATGCTGTACGTATGTGCAAATTGTTATTCATTAGTTATTATAATTTGTATCTTTGTAATAGATGTACATATGTGATTCACGACTCGTGCATGCTTGTTCTTCCTCAACTATATCAAATTTTATTTGTTATCTTTTTCTTTTTTTAAATATATATATTTTTTGTGCTTACACACATTTTGGTATTACATCAAGAAAAATCGCTAGAGCCGGGTCGAAGAACTGTTTAAGCTTATTCGGATGGGACTCTGCAATTACTATATAGTTAATATATATATTTATATATGTGTATATGTAAATATATATACAAATTCAACAGTTGCCTTGTTAACTTTTCATTTTTCTTTCTTTTGGCGTAGTTGGGCGCTAAAAAACATCCCATCGATTTGTCGCCTTGACTGGACTTAAAATGCTTATGTAAAATTAGGCTAAAAGAAGGGCGGCCAAAAGGGACAGCTACTAACTCAGAGTGCAGTGCCAGCGCATCAAGGACGTCAGACACAGCAGCCAGGCGGCAAATGTAGCTGCAAATGAAAAAATAAATTTATTTATTTATTTCACATAAAAATATTCGACTTAAAGAGTGTCAATGGAAGTAAATAATATATTAAATACGAACATATAAATAAAAAAATTCGTGTATGGATTCAGGTAAGCCCGTTTTGAAAGTTTGACCAGACTGGTCACAGTTTACTTTTTGTACTTTTTTTCAGAATATTTAGAATTATTCTGAAATGAAGTACGAATTATACTTGATTCCTGACTCGCGCCCAATATCTTACGAAAAATGTTTGATATTTTTCTCTTCGTTCAATTCAACAATGAAAAGCTAAAAGCATGAGGAAACCAACATTTCGATAATAATATGATAATAAATATGTATACACTAAAAAAAAAGAATAATTTAATAAAATAAAATTTATTAAAAAGGAAAAAAATAATAATAATTATATATAAGTAATAATATAATTATAATTAATTAATATATATTATAATATTACAATATATACAACTACTTATTTTGTTTTTTAATTTTGATTTATTTTATATATTTATTTATTATATGGTTTTAATTAAAATTATAAACATATAATAATTATAATTGAAACGGAAAATAAAAGGCTTAAAGAGGAAGCTATTAGTTTTTTTTTAAAAAAATACTTTAAGCTTAGGTTTGATTATTGTATGGGCAGAAAAATCAAATTGCATTTCAATTGGAAGATTATTATAGAGTTAAAGGATCGCAGGCTTATATCACGCCTATGAGTTCCCACAGTGAAAGGAAAATTAAATTGAATGGACCTATTCGGCACACGAAAATTAACGAGTGCAAGAAGGTGCGGAAAGTCAATAATACCCACAATTATATGTTTTAATTATATTAGGAAAAAAAAGGAGAAGCAAATAGAATAACTGCATAAAAAAGAAATAAGAGTTGAAGAAAGAAAAGCTAGAAAGAAACAACGAATAATTAATGTAATTATAAACATGTGTATAGATGAAAAATCACTTTTTATAAATGAGAGGACATCAGCCTGGCCGACTCACCTGCTCGAGCACTGGCACAGGTGCCATTCTCAATCAGCCGCTGATTGTAGCCGCTGTCCTTGAGCGCCAGTATGGTGGTGCGTATTGAGCTCTCACGGCGCACGGCGGGCAGGCCCATGATATCCGCCACGCAGCGCAGATCCAGCATCTCGCTCTTGCCAATGAAGCGCTTGTCGTCGAGGTGCAGGCGCAGTTGCAGATTGCTGGCATATAGCGCAAAGCCCTCGACGTTGCGTGTGACTTCATTGATTTGCGGTTGCAGCTGCATCTGTGGTGCCTGCCACAAAAGAAAATCGACACATTAACTGTATTTAAAAGCAAACCTCGCGCAATCAGTGTCGATGCGCGCATTGGAATTGGCGGGCCACATACCGCAAGTAATTTGCGATTTGCATTGCACATGCAATCAGTTAAGACCACGGCCACAGTTATCTAATGTGGCGAGCGTGCAACGGTGCGAATGTGCAACGTGCCCCAAATCTACTTACAGTTTTGTTGTTAATGTACCACGTAAGCCTCGCCGCTGGATTTGACCATTCCGAGCTGCAGTTGGCCAACAGCGTATCGCGGTATTTATAGGCATGCCGCATCCCAGAGATGAATGGATCGAATTTTGGCAGCACTGTGAAGCAGATTGAAGCCAGTTATTACAGTTTCTAAAATCGGGTTTTGCCAAAAGTTTTCTGTTACGATGAGTCGCTGAGCTTGAAAACTTTTTTGGGATGCACAGAAATGCACATAACTATAAGCCAGTTCAACTGTTAGAATGGGGCTTGCATGAAAGTTCCATTAGAATTAGTCATCAGTTTTAAAATGGCTTGACTTGGACTTTTAGAAAAAGGTTTGCATAGGTGAAAAGTGTCATTAGAATTACTCCTCAGTTTCTAATTAGCGTTGATGGTACCTGGCTTGGCTTGGGCTTAAAGAATACCAATTACCTGAATTCCACTTTTGCTTAAGAGCTTGAAAATATATTTAAATAAATATAAAATTAAAAGAAGAACTGTCAGGAACAAACTGGCTCTCGTCATCTTCTTTTTATACCCTTGTAGAATTTATTATAATTTTTTCATAAAAAGTGAATAACATAAAAGGAGAAATCTCCGATCCTATAAAGTATATTTATTCTATATCAGCTGATATGGCAATGTCCGTCTGAAACGTTGCATATGTCCGTTTTTCTGTTGTCTTTCTGTCTTGCTGTGTGACAACTATATTATACAGCTGCAATATGAAAGATATGTCAAAAAGTAGGTTCTGATATATATTAAGATAACTAAGATATGATCCTCATATATGTAAAATCTTATCAACGTCGGACCACTATATCATATAGGACAGAATGGTGGAATAGTAGTAACTTATATGGCAAAATATTCAGTTTTCAAAAATATTTTCAACAAACTCAGCATTTTCATATATGTATATGTATCTGAATAAATATCTGCTAAAGGGATATGTCTACAAGGGTATTAAATCTTCGGCGTTCGAAGACATCCTTACTTTCTCGTTTTGATTTCTGAATATTATAGAGCACTTATTGATAATCCTAAATAAAACATGGATTGGCTTACATACAACATAAGCAAAGACTAAATAATAAATACGTAACATATTTACAATGAAAGTAATTTGTCTAGAGTCGATAAAAAAGTCTAGAACGTTCCGGTTTTACCATCAAACCGGGACGTTCTATAGAAACCTACCGACTTATAGAATACGAACCGGCCAGGTTAAGATCATCATTTAAAAAAGCCAATTGTACCAAATTCGAACAACATTATAAGAAATATGCTCAATATTATCGATATCGCCGACTATCGGCTATCAAAAAAACCAATTGCAGTTAACTGTCGAACGTTTTGCAACTCTGCTGCAATCCGATTCCATGGTTTTGGTGTCTAAAACGCTAATAAATGTTTATTTTTAGCTCTAATTTAATTTTTTTTTAATGATTCCTATTTGTTCCACTTGCTGCTAAGGCTTTTGGGCTATTGTTAGTTCCGGGGCTAATTGGAATCCAACACAAATGTTGCAACTGAAACGTGAAAATGATTTGGCTGTTGGTTCAGCAGGTGTTGTTTGCAGCACACCGAACCAGTTAGGTAATTATCAGGCCGCCAGCAATCTAAATATTTGTTCAAAGTGTTAATTAATCTTTACAAATAATTGCCCAGGACAAACTTTTTTGATGAAAGCAAGAATAATTTGGTTTATTGCGTCGACACACACAGACACAAGCACACACACATACAGGAAGAAAACAAAGTATCCGTCACCAGCAACCAGAAACAACAACAACGACCAACTCGAGAACGACCACAAAACACTGAGCACAACAGCAACAGCAACAAAAGCTGGCAACAAAATTTAGCTTGAGCCACAGTCAACTGAATGCCGACTGCCGCAGTTGTTGCTGTTGAAAATTTGTGAAATATGCTAAGGAGCCGCAGGCGGAGGCGTGGCTATGCTCTGGGAATACGAGCGGGTGAGCGCATGGGGCCATCAAAAGTCAGGCAGTCAGCAGTACTATAAACTTTTTAATTGACTTAATACAAACCACTTTGGTGAAAAGTTTTCTGACCTGTTTTCGCCAAGTAAAATTTGCCATGGCGTTGCCAGACTGTTTGCCAGTGCTGATGATTGCGGCCATGTTGTGCCCCTTTTGGTGGCGGCCGCATCAGATGGACAGGTCAATGTTGCAGGTGTGCGGGACGGAGTATGTTCAAGGTGTACCCGTTGTAATGACGTACCGGTGGGCCTTGTGGCAAACAGAGCTGTAACTGTGCAACAACACGCAGCATGCGGTAAATACGAAAATTTTACGAAAACAAAGCAATCAACTCGGATAAATAAACCAAAAATACCAAAGTACCAGTAAAACACAAAACAACAGCAGCAGAAAGGAACTCAAAATAAACAGAAAAACAAAAAGAATACAAATAGCAAGAGTTATCGTTGTGTTGTCGACCATTAAATACCCTTACTTATGTAAACAGAGTTTCTGATATTTATTTGTGTAAGGTCAGCTACACAATCAAAATTCTCAAAACACAGCAATGTTCGACGGGTTGTGGGTTGAAGTACTGGGATTTGTTTGAATAATATATTTTTAATATATAATATTAATTAAAATTAAAATATATATTGCTAATACTGGCGACCTTTATACATCTATTATTCTGATTTTGGCGACCTTTCCATTTTTTAAATATTTAAAATAATGTGCACCGAAAATAAAAAATAAATAAAAAAATATCAAAATAAAATTGTTATACTTATATATATATATATACATATATATGTTGGATTTGGCGACCTTTCCATTTTATAATTATTTGCCCTCGAGCCAGACAGACAAATATATATATATATATATTATTTATAATATTTTATAGAGGTCAATATACAGGAGGCGAAAAGAAATATAAAAATATAATAAGAAAATATTTATAATATTAATAAAAATAGTTCTAATGATCACAGTAAAATAAATTATTTAGTAATAAGTATAACAAAAATAATAAGAATAATAATCATTGGAATGGTAACTTATTATTAACAAATACTTAACATTCTGTTAATTTAATGTAATGCTGATTTTGGCGACCTTTTTTTTGTTATTGGCTGGCTCGAGGTTACTTAGTAGTATTTAGTTAATATGTTAATATTTAAAGTATAGACAATTCCAATGCGATGTAGTAATCCATAAATAAAGAGGTTTTTAAATATAAACTCAATATTCGATTTTTAATTCTAATGACAAATATAAATGAAAGTGGGTGATCGGATTATTTACATAGAATCGGTTATTTATCTATGAAAGTTATACGCAATTCTGATCAGAGAAGTTAAATAAGAAGAAAAACAGCTTTGCAATGTTATTTTGAAATAACTTTCTAATCGAATGACCAATTATATAGAAGGAGACAATGTATTTTATTTTTGAGCCAATACAATAAATGTAAAAAAAGAGAGACAGTCTACAATAATTCGATTAACCGAGATATTTAATGGGTTCGGAAAAGACTTGCTCAATGCGTTACAATTTTCTTGTGAAAATTATGATACCCCCCTCTGCAAGTGTACAGAAAAGAAATAAGAAAGCCAAAGTAAAGAGAGGAAATAAACGACACTATAGGCAGTTGGGGATATTGCTTGCTGCCAGCTTGAATGCTAAACGAGACCAAAACCGACAGCAACAACAACAACAACAAAAACAATGAGAAGAAGAAGCAGCATACCAAACAGGTGTAGCATTTTGGGGGCAATCCTGTGTCCGGTCCAAAACACCGCAAATGATGACCCCATATTAAAAACTCAAAAGTCAAAAGTGCTTGATGGAGTAGCACGAGCAGCAGGAAGGAACACGGGCTTGACCTTAAATATATATATATATATATATATATATATATATACATATATATTTGGGGAATCTCTGAAGTAATTAGGTGTGCGTGTGTTGGGCCTGGCCCTTTGTGGACACAGATCACATCCTGTGCAAACTTTCCAAAACTTAATCAGTGCCAGGCAGCGACACATGGCACGCAACTAAGCGGAAAAATATTTGCAGTGCAAACTTTTGTGCCCACAACGAGTCGCATCATCAAAGAGCACAAGGTGATTGCCGTTGGAAAATCGAGACATGGTCCGGCAAACCACTTTTGCCTGTTTTGTCAAAGTTTTTCAGGTGGATTCGATGCGCTGGGCGATGGCACTTCGGTGACAAAAATTCCCAAGTTGATTGTTGGTCTGTCAGCAGCTTTGCAGCCGTTGAAACAAAAAACTGGCTACAAGCCACTGCGCAACACCACACAACACACAAAACACTACACTACACTACACGGCACAACAGGGCTGGGGCATTAAGTCGAAACTACGTGCTGCATTGGACCTGAGAAACATTGTTTTATGCAGTTGGAGCAGCAGCAGGGTTAAGGTTAGAGAGGGAGAGTGAGAGAGACAGAGAGAGAGAGAGTGGGGGAGAGGTAGGTGCCCTTAAACTTTGTCACCAGCTCGTTGATGAAGTTTGATGGCAGCGTTGCTTGGTTGGCTTTTATATTCGGTAATGTTGGCTCCTCATTTTATATATAGCCTGGATTGTCCTCTTTATGGTTTATATTTTACACAAACACAAACATATATATTTGAATGGCGAATGGTAGGTGGCATATGCCAAAAATGGCTTACAACATGCTGCAAATTCAGTCATTTCTTTTATATGGCGGTCAGTTTATGAGTCTCTGGTTGGTTATTTAAAAATTTTCATGTTTGTAAGTTAAACATGACAATCTTTAAAGAATATTATTAAAAAAAAAAACTGTTTGGCTTGATTGGTGATAAATTCACATAGCAATCCGCAAGATATATAGTAGTTATAGGTGCGCTAGATCTGAAGAGTTAACCTGCTAAATGTGAAATTCAAAAATCTATTCATATAGCACAGACGGCCCACTACTTGTGCCAGTAGCGTATAATTTAAGCGTACTCATCAGGTAAAAACACTGCAATCGTTATGGCATAATAAAGTTAGAATGGCATTGGATCTAATCTAGTCATTGTTATTTGCATGTTGAACAAGTTGAGCGTGGCTTACTGGCATACCTAAGTACAATAGATAAAATTCAAATTGACATGCAAATAGCACCAGACAACAAACAGGAGAAAGCAAGGCGTGGCCCAGGGGAGTAAGGCGAGTACGGCAAGGAAAAGTATTCGCAAACATCTACAAAACATCCAATTAAAGGCGAAATTCAAGTACGAAAATGCGAATTCAAATTTGATTGTTACGCGTAAACAAATGCTTAAGTGCGCATTATGCAAATCAATACTCTTAAAGCAGCATCAATAAATAAAAGCCAAGCACCGCCTCATCTCTCTGCCGACACGAGTTGAAGTAGCAACAAATCGCTGAGCAGGAAAATTGCGACAAATAAATCATTTTGAGCCGCAATCGCGTACGCGTGCAACAAAAGACATAAGCAGGCTATTTTCATTTGCGTCAAATGACATTGGGCCAGAATCAATTGATTTGAATTTCAAAGCGGAGCAGCATACTCCGCGTACAGGCCAGGATAATCCAGGCCAGGATAAACCAGGCCAGGCCACAACCGCCGCGGCAGCGGCAGCGGCTGACTCTGCGTCATGAACGTTGCCAATCAAAGCGAGTGCGAGTTCAAAATGGCGGCCATCATTGCCCGCGGCGCTGACATTAACAAACCCCAACTACAGCTACCCAGACCTCAAAAATGGAGTTGCTGTGTTTATTGTACCCTTTATTAGTAAGGGATACGAGGGCCTCTTCAAATTATGCATAGAGTATGTATCAGGAGGAAGATATTATTTCCATGAAGTATAATTATTTCTGATCTTGAGCAGAAGACGAGGAAGCATCGATCTAATTTAAGTTCTCGTCTTTCATGCTTCTATCTATTAAATTGATAAATATCAATCAATTCCTTGAAGTATCTGTATCTCTGATTTTGAGCAAGAGAGGAAGACATGTAGATCTAATTTAGGTTCTTATTTACTATGCTCGAAAAATGATTTCGCTCGATAGCTTCTTCGATCCCTGGTTCAATCGATATATATAGGAATTTTCGAATCTCTTAAATAAATATGTATATTTTCAACATAGAGCCGGATTGGAGAATGTCTGTTTAGGTAAGCATGTAGTAGAACACTTATGAGGTAGTCAAAGCTGGTTACAGGGTATCAGCCAGTCGGGCACACTCACTTGAGCTCACATTTTCATGTTGTCGTTGTTTTTGTTTGAGTTATTCCAGTTGTCTAGTGCTGGGCTGCACGTGACAACGACACTGCCGCCTTTTTGGGGGCAGATTATAAATTGATTCGTACAAAATTCACAATTGAGCTGAATTTGGGCGTTGGCGGGCGGTCGGGCGTTTGGGCGGTCAGGCAGGCAGGTGGGCGCCAGCGGGGTGTGTGGGGATTGTGGCATAGACTGCTGGGCGCTGGGCCAGTCGTTCTAGATTTATTAACAATCATTACTCATACAAATGGCTGAAGCGTGTCACAATTTTGCAGCATTTATGCGGCGTCCTTTGAACTGTGTACGCGCCTACTGTGACTGCCGCTCGGCGATGATAAATGAAAAGGAGTTGAGCTGCCAGCCCCGCGACGCCCCGTCGCAGCACCGCTGGCGGCGAACCGTGCAGAGACCATTTATAATTTTATTAAGTGTTTGCAAAATTGCACATAATTTGTTGTCTTTGTATGTGACGCACCCACACACACACACACGCACATAAATCAAACAAGTAAACAGCAAAAATTACAAGTGCGTACACTCAGAGAAACACGCCGCTCTAAAGTCTGGTATGATGGAGATCAAATTTATGATGACTGCTTAAATTTTGAGTACATCTTTTTTGTTGTTCGTGAATAAATTCTTTTGGACTTACAAAATGAATAAATGAACTAATATCACTTAGCTAAGGAAATAAGTATATTATCTTTTATTAATATACTTTTTTAAAAAAAATAATCGTAAACGGAGGCAGAATATTTCTAAAATTGAATTGTGCAGTTGAGAATGGTATTCAGAATGAGCTCAATACATTATTGAAAAAGTTGTTGATATAATACTTTTATTTTAAGTTGAAAAAATTTACTTTTAAATTTTTTCGTCCTTGGAATAAGAATTAAATTCAAAAAATTTTCTTTAAGAATGGATTTTTTTTTAAAAAATAGATTTAACTTAAGCTTAAGAAATTTTGCTTACAAGATGTGAAATTAGAAATTTCATTATCTGCTGAAGTAATTTCGGACCTAAAAATTTCCTTGAAAAAAACTTCTTGACAGAAAAATAAGTATGCATATCTAAGGATTAGGAAATTTTATCCCAAGTACCAGATATTTCGACTAAGAAACGTTCTTAAAAGAGCTCAGATTAAGTAATGTCGACATATAAATGTTCTTGAAAAAAGATTATAAATGTTCTTCAAACGAATTTCATGTCCATCTTTTGAATTTTCGATTTTATAAAAATATTCTTGTAATGATCTTAAGAAATAAATATTGGCCTAAGATTAAGAAGTATCGACTAAAAATCTTCTTGAACAAAGAGTTTCGAGCTCAGTTTAAGAAATTTCAGCATGACACTTTTCATCGACATCATTTGTACTTAAACTGGGTGAACAAAATACTTAGTTTATTTTTCTGGGTGTAGGGAACGTCCTGTGACAGGACACGCTGCAACGGGCAGTTGGCAGTTGGACTGTGGTGTTGGTTTTGCTACCTACCGCCAACGGTCATATTGGCCGCTTTATCGATCAGTTTGAACTCGGGCGCATCGCCGGACACCTCGCAGCGGTACTGGCCCGACGAGTGCACATTCAGCTTCTCCAGCTCCACGTTGCAGATGAATTGATTGCAATGCGACGAGCCGTCGGCAATGGTGACACCTTTGACGGGAAACCAATTTGTTGTCGGCGGCGTTAGCGGCGAGTATCTGCAAAAACATAGAAAACGAGTGAGTGAGAGCGAGTCAGTGTGCTAGCGGGAAAGCGCTAGCGCCTTTCGAGTTCGAGTGCTGCGCAAAAATCGAATCCATGAAATATTTATGAGGCGTATGCAAAAAGGTTTTCTTTTCGGTTCTCCTGCATCTGTGCTAACGTTGCGGAATAGAAATCCATCGATTTGTAGCCGCATTCTGCGTAGCTCTCACGATTTGCTCGACTTTTTTTTTACATATTTTTTTTGTATTTTTTTATTATGAATAACGCGGGTATTATGCCGCTTTCAATGGATGCAGCAACTGCGGTTGTGCTTGAGGCTTAGTACTTTTGAATAGCTCCAATTTAAAAAAAATACAAATGGAATTACAATTAAATTCAAATTGGGGAGCAAAAGTGTGTACATTCGTTTACCAGGGCTGCACAAATTGTGCATAACTTAACCAAATGCTATTCGGACTGCGCTCTTTGATCTCTAGAATATTGCATAGTTAAATTGCAAACAAATAAATACAAAATTTAAGCTGAAAAGAATGCTATTTCTCCCGATGCATATTTTTTGTTCTATTTTGTATATAATATATAAATCTATATCCGAAAGGCCATTCGGAATTTAGTTAAAATATTGTGGCTTATTAGGTCAGCTTTTTATTTTATTTTTTATTTAATTTTCCAACATATTTTTGTGTTTTTTTGAAAAAGTTAGTTAATAAAGATAATTATAAATTAAATTAAACAAAATGAAGCCTTATCAACTAGGTCCAAAGGCAGAACTTAATATTAATTGTTGATCAATAAGGCAATCTATTTTAAAATCTTAAATAGCTCTCAGCCCTTTTTTGTAATACAAATGCATTGCATATTGAGCACTGGGCTTATTGCAATTAGAGTGAATATGCCTGATCCCAGTAGGGTAGGCTTTTTGACACATTATAAATTTATAGTTACATTTAGTTTTATTTTCAAGCTACCGTTAAACATAAACGGGAAAAACCAATTTAAAAATAAAATAATTGTTAAATGAAATTTAATGAAATTATTTCGCAACGGCGTTCTATTTCGCATACTCTATTGTTTTTTGTAATGAGTTTTGTGCATATGGAAATACGCTTTCCCTGAGAAATTTTGTATGTTGCCAACATTTGCTATTGAATAGATTTTTGGCATACCACAGGGAATTAAGAATTGTATTGGCTTTTATTCTTCATTATTTATATTTTTTAAATTGTTTTATAATATACCAGCGGGTATTCAGTGGTCTTTCTTGGGACAAGTTTTTGCTATAAGTTTTAGATGTCACTTTTTTACACATTTCCCGCCCTTGGGATATTAAATGTACCCATACTGTTGCGCGCATGAAAATTATTTAATATGAATATATTTAACATAGCTATTTTGAAAAATCAGTTTGAAGTCCATCGAATTAAGAGACAAAAGTTGAATACAGTTTTTTTCGTCTATTATAGTATTGTGGTGCGCGCCATGAAGCCGAAAATTAAAGGTATAAAGTACTATTCAAATGAATTTGAACAAAGATCTTTGTATATTCAAAGCTGGATGTCAGTCGTATGGTAAAAAAAAAGGTTAATACAATAATTTTCCGCCATTTTTCCACACTGTTGGGTGGAACATCCCAAAAACCACTTCTTGGCGGGCATCATCATCATAAGCTAATTACAGTATAATGCTTCCCACCTTGTATGCTTGCGGCTGGGCGTTGACCACTAATCAGGAATACATATAGATGCCATTCGATTTGGATGCATATAGCTGTGGTTCCAACATGCGAATTCCTTGATGTAACCCCAATGACAATTGCATAGCATTAATTCAGTTATTTGCTAACGAGTGCCAGTCACATTAAATTCCATAATAATATCACGGCTAATGCGCCCAAAGGTAGCAGAAATGCAACCACGGCCCCCACGGCCAAAATGTGTATCAAATTTGATAGCTTGACATGTGGTTAACTGAGATTTGGCGCATTATTTTGGGCGTCGCATGCTGCGTCGCCAATTATGAAATGTAAGCGAAACATAAACCGTACAGCACATGGCTTTAAAATCAATTACAAAAATCTGAGCCTAAAAAAGGAAGTGTACAGCGCGAGAATTTTGTGCTCGATTAAGCCTGACCAATGGCCAACAATTAAGTCAGTTAAATAAAAAGTGCGCTTCACACATATTTGAACGTGAGCTGGCAGTGGGGGTGTGCGAGGCTGGGGGGCTACTACACTGTCGAAATGGCAACGTCACCTGAGCGCAATTGCTGGCGCCCATAAAAATCCATTTCAATTAAGCATTTAAATTAGTCGCGACACTTTCAAGCGATCGAGTGTGCAACCCCAATGTGTACCCCAACCAACCCGCACTTCCCCTGCCACGCATTGTTGCGGACAGTGTTGCAATTTCATGACGTTTTCAATTTGCACCATAAAATCTGCATGAATGCGCCGGCACACTCGCTGGCCATTTTATTATTTCCAGCCAGAACCGAAAAATATTTTTATGACTGTTTTTCTTTTTGTTTTTGTTTTATTTGTTTTACAGCCGCTGCAGCAGTTGCCAGTTGCCAGTTGGCAGTTAGTAGTGGGCAGTGGGCAGTGGCAGGGGCACTGGGCACTTACCTGAAAAACTCCTGGCCATCCTTATACCATTTGACCGAGTTGAGAGTCCGATTGCCCATCTCATAGCTGCAGAACAGTTTGGCCTTTTGGGCGACATCGATAATGCGCGGGACGGAAAGGTTCGATAGATGCAGCGCCTCAATGGGCTGTACGGCTGCAATGGAAAATGCACACAGTTATTGCGGTTATTTATCAATAGGGCTGTTGATAACAGCAGTTATTTTTAAATGTCTTAAATGCATATTAATGCTGTTAACAGCCCAGTTAAATGTGAGCAAAAAACTACGAATAATGTCAAATTGTTCCACCTTCTGTGCTGTATACTGTGTCGAGTACGTATTATAGCAAGTATTGTGATGAATCAAAGATATTTACAAAATTTTAAAAATAAATTTAAAGTCAGTATTCCTTGCATTAATCGGCCATAAGTGAGCTTTTCCAAAAGCACGCATATATTACTTTGATCATAATGGAACCTAAGTTCCATCGGAGAAAAGTTCAACCTTTTTACATGCATACAACTTTCCACAATTTTCCCTATTATTTCTAATACATTTTTACAAAATTGTTTCACATTGTCTATGAAGGAAAAATTTAAAAACTTTTTTCATCAATATTCCTTTCTTTATCTCACGATATAACATGTGTTGGGATTATCAATTAATCAGTCTGTCAATCATGACAAGCAGCCTAAGGAAGTTCAGGTCTTTCTGCGCCAAAAAGTGTGCTATAGTTTTGAAATATTTCACTCTCCGATACATTTTTACAAAGTTCTTTAGAATTGAGTCCTCAATCAGTTAGTCAATCAAGCCAAAAGGTTTTATTTGAGTAGATATCATTCAGGTATAAGCCTTAACTTACACGCCGAAAGTTCACTATTGTCGTTTAGTGCATCCTAGCTCTAAAGGCGTGGCTTGTACAGTGATTTTCAATCAGTCAGTCAGTAAATCAGGACAAACTGTTTAAAACCATTTATTTATCTAGTGATACAATCTTGCTTACGTTTCTGCCTGTGCAACGGTCGACAATCATTCAGTTAGTCAATCAAGCCAAACACTCTTACTAATATGGATATCATACAGCATACAAATGGTAACTTAACATACATCACGAAAGGTATATACTGTGATTGACTGCATGGTTGTTATAACGGTTTGGCCTGTGCAGTGATGGTCGGGAAGGAGTTAAATATATATATATATGCATGTTAACATTAATTTATGCTAACATTTTTTGCTTGGCACTTTCTGTGCAGCTTTTCATGGCTTTGACCCTGCTCAAGGGTCAACACTTTTATTTCTCGCAAATGAGGACATTTTATTTTTTCGCATATTTATTATTGCATTTAAGGCAGTTGCGCAAATGCAGGCCATGAATCAAATGACGGCCGGCGTGCTGAGCATGGCTTTTAATTAAGTTTATTTTACTTTTGGCCTGATAATAAAAATTACTGAAATGGGCGCGACCAAGGGCAGAGGCGACTGAATGTGCTTGTGGTATTGTAATTATTAATGTCGCCGGTTGTATTTGTTCTTGTTGTAGCATGTTTTTATATCTGAACTATGAACTTTTGTACAACCGACAAAATAATTAGCCAGCTGCTATCTCCGCTCTCACAACTCGTTTCTCGCTTTCCCTTTGTGTGTTTGACTCTTACGCTGCGGGCGGAAGCAACAGTTTTTTATTTGTTTATGCGTCCGAGTTCCGTGGCAGCACCGGATTTAATGACCCTGTATAGTCCTGCCCAACGGCTTGAACGTCCACTAATTACAACAAAGAACAGACAAAACAAAAATTAACTTATGTGCTCCATAAATTAGCACCATAATATAACTTATTCCGGTTGCTTTAACGACATTTACTCAGGCAGAACTTTCGGATAATTTGCTCATAAAGTTTGCGGCTATTATAATATAATTGAATAATTCGAGGAGCAATAAACATTATGGACATGATTTTAGATAAAAAAACACAAAATATAAAATACATTGTATGTATGTTTGGAAACATTAGTTTATTATATTGTTCTTCGTATTATTTAAATTAAAAGCTGCATATAGAACTTAACAATTCTCTTAATAATTCACAGTTCCTTAAAGGTCTATATATCTATGTGTAGTTTTTGCTTAGTTCTTGAAGCTATCATGGTATTAATTATAAGGGAATATACTTATAATAGTAATAATATAGTCGCATATAGAGCTGACACTAGGTATAGCTCTTAATAATTCACAGTTCCCTTAAGATGTATATAAGTATTTGTATTTTATGTTCACAAATTCTTATTTCCGACTTTTTCTATGTGAAGTTAGTTGTTAGTTTTTGAAGCTGTCATGGTATTAGTTATAAGGTTATTCATATTTAATAGTTGCGTATAAAGCTTACTCTTGGTATAGTATAATTCACAGTTCTCTTAAGGTATATATATCAATTTGTGTGCTCTGTTTCTGACTTCATCAATGTGTAGTTATTTCCTAGTTCTTAACGGTGTCTGGTATTGATTACATTATTATAAATAATTATATAATATTTCAGATGGTTTTTCTTTTAATATAGTTTATTATATGCAGATAAAAATTTTTTTATTAAGCTGCAGATAAATATAAATAAAATCAAGCATATTCATCGTTTTATGGATCGTTTATAGGATCGTAGACGCGTCGGTCTGCCTGTTAAATACCCTTGCACAAAGTCAAAATACCCGTTTTGTGTATATGAAAATTGGTATATTAATCATCTCCTTTATGGTTTTCTTTTTTTATTTTAAATTTTATTTAGTATTGCTACTCATTGTTCGTATCTTTTTAATTTCCTTGCAATAAAATTACGATGTTTTATTGCTTTAGAATTTTCTATTATAACTTTTTATGCGCTTGTGGAGGGTATTATAATTTTTTCATGAAATGTGTAACGAATCGAAGGAGTTATCTACGACCCCATAAAGTATATATATTCTAGATTAGCATCAATAGCCGAGTCGATATAACCATGTCCGTCTATCCGTCTGTATATTTCTATGCGAACTAGTCTCTCAGTTTGAAAGCTATCGTTTTGAAACTGTGCATAGGTCCGTTTTTCTGTTTTAAGTATAAGGCCATCATATAGCTGCCATAGGAACGATAAGATAACTTAAGCCAACTCTATATGCATACATATGCAAAATCTTATCAACAACGGACCACTATATCATTTAGGAAAGATCAGTTGAACAGAAGGATCTTATACGGGAAAACATTCTGTTTTTACAGATGTTTACAACGAACTTAGCATTTTCGAGATTCACTATTCTCACATATCCTTAAAATGGAAATGTCTACAATATTATTATGTTTTGGTGTGCCGAAGATATCCATCCTTCTCGTTGTTACTTTAAAATGCATTCACAAAAAAAAGCATTTAAAATCAATACTAAAATTAAAATATATATTATGTAAATTAAGCATACATTTGGTATATATAAAAAAAAAACAAAAAAAATGCATTTTATTTTTTTTTTATATTTTTCTTCATTTGTTTATCTTTATGTTTTTTCAATGTGTTTTATTTGTTTACAATATTGTTTTGTTTGCATGTAAAATTAAGTATGTCTGACATGTGCGATTAAGTACTTATATTGTTGTTGTTGCGGCTGACAAAACATTAACATGGCTTTAATATTTATGCTTTCATAAATAGCTGAAATCCTGGCTGGCTTAAAGCAATTTGCCATTTGGAAAGTTACTCGACAAATTGCTTTAGGCCAGGCCAAAACCGAGGCGCATTACTCATAATGACGAGCAAAAAATTCGATTAGCTTAGAAAGCAATTAACATGCTAAGCACACACACACACATAGTCACACACACACACACACAGACAGCCATGCATACAACGAAATTAAAAAGGATTTGTGGAGCAAATGACGAGGGCATTTTGCCGCAACTATATAACATGGCTCGGCCTAAATCTGGCTCAAGTCGTTGCCGGCCACGTCGTGCGTTTGTTATACCCTGAAAGCATTGAAACTGGATGAAAAGGAGCTTATTGTTTTTATGTTAATGTATGCAACAGGCAAAAGGAAACATGTTCGTCTCCATACGGCGTATGTATTATTGATTAGGATGACAAACTGAGTCGTTAACAACTTGAAAATTGCAATATATATACTCGTATATTATACACGGCACGACTTAATCATATCGATATACATATGACCGTGCTTACCTAACATCGATAAATATCGATTTTGTACTATGGTTTTTTAAGCACTTGGAAATAATAAGAGTTATAGACTCTAAATTTGGTATCGTATATACAGATGATGAATACTTCATTTTTTTGATAACTTTTTCGTTCTTATCAAAGTAAATAAAGAATTGATGCCATAATAAAGCACTGACAGCAAACAGCGAAGTTATTCAAGAATGTTTTTTTAGTGTGGGGCTAGGCTGAGTACAAACGTGCTTGTGTAAATATGTATGTCCGGCCGCTCGAATGTTTGTACCGACAGCTTGTCGCTGTGCTTAGGGTATCAGCAGGTCGCGTACTCCCGTGTAGGGCACTCTAACTTGTTTTAGCTTTTTCTTTTGGCTCGCTGACGGATTGTCGGGTCAGTTAATATCACTCAGGCATGAGACTTTGTTGCCTTTGGCGACGGCCACACACTGACAGACAGATAGCTGACCATGTGTGGTGCCTGGCGATGAGTTGGCCAAAAGACCAGTTGGCCCATAAGATAATGAATGCGTTGACGTTCAAGCATTTAATGTGCCGAAACAATGATGAATTAGTGACGAGACAGAAATTTCTCAAGCGCGAAATAATGAGGCGTTTGCTTGCCACCCCCCGCACCCCTTGCAGACACTATACAAATTCACTGCCAATGGCCCGCCTACTGTCTCGTAGTTACAGTAACAATCATGGCCCAAAATTCACTGTGCGGGCAATTTGCTTTGAATTTAGTTGATTGCCGGACGGAATTTGGCGCCATTTGAGCTCCCTCTCTCTGTGCGTGTGTGTGAGAGTGTGTGTGTATTGCATTAAATTCACAGCAGCAGCTTGCTTGGAATTTTCGATTAAAGAATGTCGCCCCAGCGAAAACCTTTTGTATTTAAATTCGAACGCCAAGTGCTTCAAGCGTTTGCTTATATCAACTTCAATATACTATATCCAAAT